CTTTAATACTTCCCCTAGGTCAGGCTCATGAATTTGCACCACAGGCTGCCATCAGGCCCCTGCCTTCCTCTCTAGACTCCTCTTCAGTCACACACCCCACCCCCACCCTGGAACTCTGCTCTTTTACCAATCATAATTTTGTTACTTACGGTTTTCAAATAAGACTTCTTTATTTGTATCACCCAGATTTTAAAATCCATGCCCTTTTAACATATGCTCAGTTCAATTTAGTTTCTCTAAACAAACAAGCAGCCAACACCCGCAGTCCAGACTTTAATTCTGAGCTACAGATTTGTATTTCTAGTTGCCTGATTGACATTTCCACTTGGCTGTCTCAAGTGGAGGTACCTCAAATTGAGGTATTTTGAATTTGAGGTACCTCAAATTCAACATGTTGAAATTGTTCTTGTAATTTTCTGTTTTCACAATCTCTATAAACTGTACTGTCATCAACTGTAGTATTTAGGCAACAAACCTGGGAGTTATCCTTAGGAGTTTCTTCTCCCTCACCTTTGTATCAAGTCAATCACAAATCCCTGTTTAATTTACTTCCTAAATGTTTCTCAAGTCTAGTCACTTATATCTATTCCCAATTCTGCAACCTTAATCCAAGTAGCAACTTTCCTTGCCTGGACTACTGTAACCTAGGTAGCCCTCCCACAACTATGCTCTTTCCCTGCAGAACGCTCCACACGAACCTGATCTGGCACCGTATGTTCATTATTGTATTAGTCAGCTGGGGTTGCCATACAAAAATACTGTAGACTAGGTGGCTTAAACAATAGACATATATTTTTTCATAGGTCTGGAGGCTTGAAGTCTGAGATCAGGGTGCCAGCATGGTTGGGTCGGCTGAGAGCTGTCTTCCTGGTTTACAGGTAGCCACTCCGTGTGTGTGTGTGTGTGTGTGTGTGTGTGTGTGTGTGTGTGTGTGTGAAATGACCTTTGTTTTAATTTCAATGTAGTTAACTACGTGTTATATTAGTTTCAGGTATACAATATGGTAATTCAGTAGTTCCGTATATGACTCATTGCTCATCAAGATAAGTGTACTCTTATTTATTTATTTTTAACATTAAGTGTCCTCCCACCCACCTCCCCTCTGGTAACAATTTATTCTCTATAGTGAAGAGTCTGTTTTTTGGTCTGTTTCTCTTTTATTTTTTTTTCCTTTGTTTTCTGCTGTCTTAAATTCTACATTTGAGTGAAATCATGGTATTTGTCTTTCTCTGACTGGGTTCTTGCACGCTCTCTGGTATCTCTTCTTATGAGGGCATTAATCCCATCATGAGGGCCCTACCCTCATGACCTCATCTAATCCTAATTACCTCCCAAAGGCCACATCTTCAAATACCATTGGATTGGGGATTAGGGTTTCAACATGAGAATTTGGGTAGGACACAAACATTCAGTCCATAATAACTATATTTTCTTATTTTTTGTTTTCTTGATTCTCTGGCTTCTGGAGCCTCACTGACTAGGGAGAGACTGTCCTTTCCAGGGGTGGCCATTTCTTAGATACAGCAAATAACTCACCCTGGACGGCACCTTTCATATTCAGACTAACCAATCCAGAGCCCATACTTTAAACTACCTTCTTTTTCTGACTCTTACGCTCCAGGAGACAGTATTCTTCTGCTCTGATCACCCCAGGGCCAGGTACTAGACAACTAAAGATAGCCCCTAGACCCTAGAGCCTGCTGAAATTATTCAAATTAGCCAATGCTAAGCCTGGTTGCCCTCTCTTACCTTGCCTTTCTCTGGGAAACCACTATAAAGCATGTCATCCATGCTTTCCCCTTGCTCATTCTGCCTCCTGACTGATTCTGGTGCTTCCCCATGTGGCCCTCCTTGGCATGGCATGTCGCTTCTTAGGAACTGTGAATAACTGTCTTTTCAATGGCAGTCATCTCCTGATCTGTTGGCCTCACCATACCTGAAAAATAATAAAACCTATATTTTAAACACACTACCACCACCACTATGAACTGAATTGTGTCCCCTCAGAATTCATATGTTGAATCTCTAGTCCCCTGTATGACAATATTTGGAGACGGGGCCTTAAGATAGTCATTAGGTTTAGATGAGGTTATGAGGTAGGGTTTTCATGATGGGATTAGCACCCTTATAAGAAGAGACCAGAGAGCTTGCTCTCTCTCACTCTCCACCATGTGAGAATACAGTGAGAAGGCAGCCATCTGTAAGCCAAGAAGAGAAACTTCACCAAGCACCAAATCTGTGCCATCATCTTGGACTTCCTAGCCTCCAGAACTGTGAGAAATAAATTCTGTTGCTTAAGGTACCCAGTCTGAGGTATTTTGTCTTCACCCAAGCTGATGGAGACTGCCACCAAATTAAACCTTTTCAGTGGCTTCCCATTGCTTTTAAGATAAAACTAAGAATCCCTTTCAGCCTAAAACATTTGCCTGATTTATTTGCTGCTTATTTCTCCAGTCTCATTTCATATCCTTTCTCTTCATCATTAATTAAGCTTCAATCACAATGGACATTTTTCAGGTTTTTAAATTCCCTTCCTGCAACAGGACCTTTGCACATTACGTTCCCACTGCTTAGGGGTTCTCATCTTTCCCTCAGTCCCTCTTTACCTTACTCATATCTGCATATTTTCCAGGACTCAGTTTTTGTGTTACTTCTTTAAGGAAAATTGTCATGACTCTTTACATGAGGACACCTGTTTTTTGGTCATGGTACTCTGTACTTTTTCCATCATAGCACTTACCATAATTATAATTAAATATTTATTTGGGCAGTTAACTGTCTAGTGTCTTTCACCCTGGCTAGATTGTCAAGCATCATGAGAGCAAGGGTTATCTTGTCTCCTGCACATAGCATAGTTCCAGGCACACAGTAAGTGCTTAATAAATATTTGTCGAATGAATGAATAAAAGAATGACAACAATTATTTCAACTGCCTTTATAGATTGTATAGCTAGACCTATGGGATAATATGGAGACAGCAGATCTTTTTATGTCCTATCCTCCAAATACATGAATAGAAGATCCCCCAAAATGGGCCATTTAAGTACCTCCGTACTACATTGTGGAAAGGCCAAATAATGACACAAATATTTTGCTAACACATGAAAACTGAAATAAAGAAGATATAAATGCAAAAGATGATTAATATAAAGCCAGAAGATTGTGGTTCAGACTTTTAAATAGAGGAATCTTCTGTATATCATAAACCTTGTGGCAGATTTATCTGCAGTATATTGTGATACCATGCCAACTTTTTTGAACATGTGAAGGTGATTCAAGTGAAAGGTTTTGGAGGCATCGTAATGTAGAGGTATGCTCCAGAGTCAGTTTAAAATCTGGCTCCATTACTTACTAGCTCTGTGATCTTGAACAAATTACTTAAATTGTCAAAAAAAAAAAAAAACAAATTACTTAAATTGTCTAAACCTCAGAGTTCTCATCTTGGGATGGAGATAATAGGACCTACCTTAGAATTGTTGTTAAACTTAAATGAGATAATGAATGCAAGGCACTTAACCATGAGACCCTGCACATACGCTGCTATTTCATTATTCCAGTAATTTATCAGAATATATTACTTTGTGTAAACCCTCTTCCTTCTTCCTAGAATGTATTTCTCTACCAACCCATTTCATTTCCTGCCACCACCTTCTCTGGCTTCTGTGTCCCCCTTCTTTTGGAATCTTTATATTTAATCACATGTTTTTCATTTCCCTCCCTCACTAGACTATGAGGGCATTGACTGCATCTTGTTTTCATTATATCCTAAGCAACTAACACATTTCCTGGTACATAGTAGATATATTATTAAATAATTAATTAAATGCATATCTAGTGAATAAGTTAATTCTATAGGATTGGCTTAAGGATTAGAAATAACCTATCTGCAACATTTAGCTAGTGTCTAGCTTGTAATTTAATACATACAGCTATTATTATTATTGCTAATAACAATATTTTTCAGAAACATAGGTTACTTAGATTAACTAAATAACTTTCCCAGCCATTAATATCCCTTCTTATATATATTAGCAGACATTTTATCCATCTTAGGTATTCTAGGAAAAGGGAAAATGCACAAGAATATTGATAGGACCCACAGACCAATAGATGGTAGACATCATTCTTTCCTGGAGGTATGATATCATAGTTTGTGGTACTGAATGATCTGGGTGGTCCAGTGAGTCAGGCATCCTGCTTAGGTGTGTGCATTAGGATAGATAGATGGACGAGCTTGTTTGTTCGATGACAGTAAACCAACCCCTATAAGCAGAGGGCAGGGAAAGGTGAAAGAAAGAGGCAGGCCACTCCTGGTTGGTAGGTGGCAGTTTTAATAAGCAGAGAGTACCTACATACAAGGCTTATCTTGGGTGGCAGCAATGGGTCCCCCACCTACCCACCAAATCTTTTTTTTTTTTTAAAGATTTTATTTATTTATTTGACAGAGAGATAGAGAGTACAAGTAGGCAGAGAGGCAGCAGAGGGAGAGGGAGAAGCAGGCTCTCCACTGAGCCGGGAGCCCAATGCAGGGCTCGATCCCAGGACCCTGGGATCATGACCCGAGCCGAAGGCAGCCGCTTAACCAACTGAGCCACCCAGGAGCCCCTGCCCACCAAATCTTAAAAGTTTGTAAAGAAGGTCTTAATTTGGTTTAGTCAGGTATACCGTACAGGTGTTTTCAACACCACATCACTATCTCAAGACTCTGTCCTTGGAACAGCCTCTGGGAACAAGAAAGATGAGCAGAACTCCTCTTCCAAGGATAGCGGGTGAGGAGCCTCCAATCGCCTGGGTCCAGCTCACAGGTCAATTGATGGTCACGTCCTTTCAATGACCTTCCCCAACACTCAGAGTAATTAGATGTTAAATATATGAAAGAATTAGTAAAAGATATTAGATAATAAGAGGTGACTGTCATAATCATTCTGATGTTTTATTTTGATTTGTATAATAATTGCACCTCTACAATATTCAAGTCCTCTTATCTTTGTTTCTTATAGCTATTGGATGAACTCCCAATGATTTATAGCTGTTGTATATTTGTGTACTGCATGTAAGTACTTATGTTTCAAGTTCAATTGTTTAATATATTTTAAAATTCATTTTCACCTCATAGTGAATTAAGTAATATAGTTAACCCTGTTACATTATACTGGGAGATTGTAATAGTGTAAAAGGTTATAAATTCTGTGATCTTCCTGTGGAGTATAATCTGTGGGAAGTTATAATAATGTTGTTTATTAACTTTTATGATCTCAAAACCCTAGGGCCAGTTTAAATACTCTTACTTCAATTTGATTTAACTTGTATAATCTTCCTTTCCTTGAGTTATAAATGTAGATAAAAATTTTATATATTAAGCCATAAAAATAATATTTGTGTACTTTGTACCTGTAATTGTGGTAGGTATTATACAAATCATCTCTAATTCTTTCAGTTGTGCAAGATAAATGGGTATTATCCCCATTATATAGATGGTGAAGTGAAGCACAGAGAGATTTAGTAACTTGTCTAAGGATATAAGCAGAATTTATGCTTAGGTGACTTGCCTAAGGCCATGTAGCTGGTAAGTGTCAGAGTTGGAAATTGAATTACAAATTTAATAAACTTACCTTCTAAGTATGCGCTTAATTCCCTAGCACTAGTACTTAAAATTTCTCTAAACTCCTTATATGATGGTTATCTCTTTTCAATATGATCATTAATACTAGCTCAAGTATATTTTCTTCTTCTCCCCCCCCTTTTTTTTTTTGAGAGAGAGAGAGGGTGGGGAGGCAGAGGGAGAGAGAGAATCCCTAGCAGGCTCCACACTCAGCACAGAGCCTGATTTGGGGCTCGATCTCAAGACCCTGAGATCATAACCAGAGCCGACATCACGAGTCTGATGCTTAACTGATTGAGCCACCCAGGCACCCCAAGAATATTTTCTTCTAAAGATATCTGAAAATCAAAATCATTTGAGAAAATATATTACTTAAAAGAGCTCATCTGGGGGCACCTGGGTGGCTCAGTCAGTTAAGTGTCTGCCTTTGGGATCCAGCCACGCATTGGGCTCCCTGCTCCTCAGGGAGTCTGCCTCTCTCTCTCCCTCTCTCCCTCTGGCCCTCCCCCTGCTCTTGCTCTTTCTTTCTCTCTCTTTCAAATAAATAAATAAAATCTTAAAAAAAAAAAATAAAAGAGCTCATCTGAAACTTTTTCTGTAAAGGGACAGGTAGTAATTATTTTAGGTTTCATGGGCCTGTGGTCTCTGTTGCAGCTCTTCAACTGCTATGGTAGCATTGAAGCAGCCATAGACAATATGTAAACAAATGAGTGTGACTGTTCTGGTAAAATTTTATTTACAAAAACAAGCTTGGGTCTTTGGGCAGTAGTTTGCTGCCCCTGATCTAGAAAAGTATTTTCAGGTGAGCTTTTTTAAATGAGTCATCAAGTCACAGAATTTGAAGGTAAAAGAGATCTTAGAAATCATCTGGGCCAACCACCTTTCTGTAGAGATAAGGAAATAGGAGTTGGGTCCAGTTCCCACAGCCAATTAATGAGTAAACTGAGAACTCTCCTGCTGCTTCTACTAAAACATAGGTTCAAAGGTTGGATACCTAACCGATGGTCAAATATTTGTTCATATTTCCTTATTTACTGAGTATTTGCTAGCCTAGTGATTATATACATGAGAAAAAGATTTTATCCCTGCACACAGGAGTTCACAGTCTGGTTGAGGAAACCCGTAAAGAGACAATTATAATAGTGATATTTTCTGTAATAGTGTGCCTTAGTCAAGGATGGCTCATTGCAAGATTTAACCTACTCAAGCCAGCTTGAGTTAAGAGAAATTTATTTAAGGACATGAGGAAATTATATGAAACCCAATAGCAGGAAGTGCAGCGTTACTACCACTCAAGGGCAGCTTCTCTCTCCCACCCTTTTTTTCTCCATTCCTTCTTCTCTGCATGGTCTCGTCTTTGAATTTGCTTTATTTTTCCCTCCATGCAGATCACTTCTCTGCTCATTCATCTTCTCGTCCACTCAATTTAGCTGCCTAAATGTCAGCATCAGACTTTCAATCCATCAGGCTTTATACTTTGACTCTCCACATTTAATTGATTCTGTCTCTGACTCCCAAACTCCCAAGTTTTCAGGAGAGAGCTTCTCATTGACCCAGTTTAAGCCAGGTGCCTTCTGATTTCCCCAGCCTCTTGGAGGCTCTGGGTGGTACAAGTTCCCTGAGATAAGAGTTTGGGTGGGAGGAAATGATGGGCATCACTAGACCCAAAGGTGTGTATACAAGTGGTAAGACAGCATTCTATTTGTTTTACTAGTTATATATTCTAAAATAAGTTTCTTTCTCTCTCTCTTTTTTAAAAGGTTTGAATGTTTCAAGATGAAGAACTCTGTAAACTACCACCTGCTTTTTATTTTAGTTCTATTCAGTTTAATAGTAACCACAGTAAGTCATATCTTGTTTCTAACAGATTAAGCATGTGATATGGATTTGAGAATTATCAGGGTATAGGTAGTACTAGAAATGTGGGAATAGATGAACTGGCACAAAGATAGCATGAACCATTAAGATGACCAAAGATGCAACCCTATGGAACACTTCTTTTTTTTTTTTTTTTTTTAAGATTTTATTTATTTATTTGACAGAGAGAGACACAGCAAGAGAGGGAACACAAGCAGGGGGAGTGGGAGAGGGAGAAGCAGGTCTCCCGCCGAGCAGGGAGCCCGATGCGGGGCTCGACCCCAGGACCCTGGTGGGATCATGACCTGAGCCAAAGGCAGATGCTTAACGACTGAGCCACCCAGGCACCCCCACTGCTTTTTTTTTTTTTTAACAGAGTTAAACAAGAGTATATTGTTTGTTATTCACAGCCTGTCAGTTTGCAAACTTTCATAATGCCTAAAGATTTCAATAAGAGTCATCACTTTAAAAAAAAAACTATATACATTCAAGGTATAAAACATGATGCTTTGATACATAGTGAAATGATTACGCTAGGCAAGCTAATTAACATATCTTCTCACCTGTGTGTGTGTGTGAGAGAGAGAGATAGAGAGAGATGAGACCACATGAAATCTATTCTCTTAGGAAATTGCCAGTATTCAACCCAGTATTAACCATAATTACCATGCTGTACATGGGAACACTGACATTTGAGGGTCAGGTAGAAGAAATGGAGCTAGCGAAGGAGACCTAGAATAAGTAATCAGAGATCTAGGAAAACGAGAGAGCCCAATATAACAGAGTACAAAGAGATTTCTAGAAGGAATAACAGTATTAGTTGCCTCTGAGAGGATGAGTAAAATAAAGATTGAAGTTTGACCTATAAAAATTTCAATTAAAAGACCCAAGTGACCAAGGCGCCTGGGTGGCTCAGTTGGTTAAACAGCTGCTTTCGGCTCGGGTCATGATCCCAGGATCCTGGGATCGAGCCCCACATTGGGCTCCCAGCTCAGCGGGGAGTCTGCTTCTCCTTCTCACTCTCCTTCTGTGCTCTCTATCTCAAATAAATAAATCTTAAAAAAAAGAGAGAGACTAAAGTCCAGAGAGTTTTAGTGATTTGCCTGGCCAGCCAAGTTTATATGGAGAATTGGTGGCAGAGTTAAAACTGTACCCCTTTGTAAGTTCAGAACTGATGTGGTCAGAATTACAGGCTTGGGAGTCAGTCAGATCTGAGTTTGGACCAACACTGTTACTTAATAACTGGGAACCTTGGGCAAGTTACTTAATCTCCCTGCGTTAATTTCCTCATCTGTAAAATGAAGATAATAATAGCATACATTTCGTATTAGTTGTAAAAATTAATACCTGGCACACAGTAAGGACTCCATAATTCTTTCACCTTAAAAAATATCTTTAAGAGGCATTTCCTTTTGCATTTCTTTTATTAATAGCAGTGGTTATATGAAATTATGCAAAGGGAAATTAGTATTTTGAAACAACACATTTCAGAGATGAAAAGCATTCTTCCTTACTGAGTTTAGAGTTACAGATATATAGTGTCTTATATACATCTTACTATTAAAGCTCTATGGATGCTTAAAGGAAATACTCTGCTCTTACTGTGTGAGGGTAGGAACTTTCTCCCAAAATAAGAAATTTTGCAGCCAAATTGTAAAATTACATAAAATTTTTGTGAGGTCAGCTCTACATTAAATGAGGATATAGAGATACCTGAGCACAGCCTTTGCTGTCAAAGAGATGACTGCCTTGCAGGGGAGAGAAACAAACCAATAAATTACATGATGTTTAAACATGGTCAGTGAGGGCATAAAGGAGGGTGAATGGCTGCTCCTGCTGAATGGAGAAGGGACCAGGAAAGTCTTCAAGAAAGAGGGATAGTTTGAGCGGGATCCTGGGAGATGAATGTTTGCCAGCATGCGAGGATTTCTGAACAAAGTAAAGAGCAGCATGTTTAAAGATGTGGAAGCACTGTACTTTCTGGAGCCTAGGATGAAAAAGGGACAAGAGGAGAACAGTGAGGCCAGGCAGAAAGTCAGGAGTGAAATCATGGAAAGCTTTGAAATTTGGACTTTGTCTTGTAAGTGATGGGAGCCATTTCAGGATTATGATTTGAATTTTGTTTCCTCTCTACCATGTCATTTTAAAGGCATACTCCTACAGGGCAGTAAATGCATGCTAAAGCCTAAATAGGCATTGAACTTAATCACCCAAATGATATTGGAGCCTAAAACTAAGATATGTGTAATTGGGAATGCATTTAGGTGATGAGTTATGCATCTAGGTGAGTGTGTTTGGAAGTAAAAGAAAGCACAAGAAATTTGTTTTAAATGTTTTCAGTTACTGAGCATGCATTATATGCTAAATACTTTCATGTATTTTAGCTTATTATTCCTCACCACTGTTACTCCCATTATCCAGATAAGGAAAAAATGAGTCTTTTGGTTAAGTGATTTGCTCAAGGTCTATAGCAAGTAAGTGGCAGACTCTGAAATTTACCACCTGTCTCTAAGTCCAGTGTTCTTTGTGTTGTAGAAAAAATGTGTTATAGACGTTGTCAACAGAACCTCTTCACCCCTCCTATCTGAGTAGCTGTGCCCTTCCCTGATGCTGATGTGGAAGCTAAGAGGCCAGAGTAACCCACAATAGCTTTGAAACATTTAGTTTACCACGGTAAAGCTAGCACTGGGGGAGACCCACCTGTAGGTACTAGCCCTTCTGTGGCACGCCACCTCATCTGATTGGTTTTACGTGACTAGAGTCACATCTAAGTAGCAGGACTAGGGAAGCAAGAGAGGTTTGGGATTTGCAGAATGGTTGGAATAAGTTTTCTTCCCCTTCAATAATGCGCTTCATTCACATGTGTTTCTTTTAATATTTTGTAGGTTTACCTTAAGGTAAAGGAGCCTATATTCCATCAGGTAATTTTAAAAAATTATTACACACTTGATTGTTTAACAGTACTTGCCTGCATTGTGTTTCCCTTTCTGGTAAATTATATGTGATACAGTTTCTGAAAATAAAATGGTAGATGTCCTATGAAAGTGTTTAAAACAGAGTTTGCAAACTCAAGTGCTAAAGGATGCCAATGCCCAGGCCTGGCTGGCTTTGGTAGTCAGTAATGCAGGTGTAGCATTGCTCTTATAAGAAAAAAACACAAAGCATTCATGCACATACACATACAAGGTCCTTTTTATGACATTATTTTCTAGAAAAGATAGACTGAAAATTCCTTGAATATTTCCCCTCCTAATATTTTATGAATTTTTTAATGTGGGAGGTTATTTACATTGAGGAAAGCAGACATAGGAAACTTTGCTGTAGGAAATAATGATTTAAGTGTATCCCATAATGAAACCAGAGGAAAATAAAGTAGTAGACCCTAAATAAAGAGAGCCATTGTTAATTGAGTGCTCTCATGTGCCTGGCGCTATGACCATTACTGCACAGACTCTAATCTCCCCAGCAGTCCTACAAATTAGGGATTACTGTTCACATTTTAAAGGAAATGAGCTCAGAGCTACTGAGAATTTGCCCAGCAGTTACACAGTTATTAAGGAGCAGAGCCAGGATTGTAACCTAGATTTGTTTGACTCCTATCACAATTCTTTTAACAAACTAGAAAACAAACAAACAATAAGTAAGGACACATTTCAGGAGTATCAGAAGCCTTGTAGTTTTAGAATATTTTGTGCTTTTATAAAAAGTAAGCGTTCCTGTATCTTTTTAAACTTAAACTAGATAATAATCATCTAACTGAAACCTGTTTCTTAAATTCCAAAACTACATTATTGTGCCTTGCTTTTCTTTTCTTTTTTTTTTTTTTTTAAAGATTTTATTTATTTATTCATGAGAGACACAGCGAGAGAGAGGCAGAGGGAGAAGCAGGCTCCCAAGGAGCAGGGAGCCCGATGCGGGACTCGATCCCAGGACTCTGGGATCATGACCTGAGCCGAAGGCAGACGCTTAACCATCTGAGCCACCCAGGCGCCCTGTGCCTTGCTTTTCTACAGGCGAGCCTAAAGTAGATATTACAAGAGAGGACATCCTCACTTTCCTGTTTATTTTAGCTTGAAGTATGTCATTATGGAATTACCTCTTTATTTAGAAAGATTTATTGAAGGACACCTGGGTGGCTCAGTTGTTAAGCATCTGCCCTCGGCTCAGGTCATGACCCCAGGGTCCTGGGATCAAGCCCTGCTCCCCGCTCAGCAGGGAGCCTGCTCCTCCCTCTGCCTGCTGCTCTCCCTACTTGTGTACTCTCTCTCTCTCTCTCTCTCTCTCTCTCTCGGTGTCAAATAAATAAATAAAATCTTTTAAAAAAAATTTATTGACATACTGTAGAGGATGAAGTTTATATGAAGACTACTTCACTTTTATAAATTTCTTATTTGTCTTTATAAGAAAGAAAAATCATAAGCACAAAAAAAACAATTCGGAAATTTGGGGTTAATTTTTGTAAGTTTATGATCAATTTTCCATTTTGTGTTTTAGACCTATTTTATAGTGTGTTTATGTAATAAAAGTAACAAACTCTTCATCTAACTTCCCATGCTGCAACTCTCATGTGTTTTTTCAGTAATACATATCTTCTTTTCTGTAGATAGTAGTGAATGTTTGCTAATAGGAAGGGAGGGAGGGAGGATGAAAGCTTATAGCTATGGGTTATATACTAGGCCTCTCAGGAGGGAAGTGAAGAAGTAGAGGAATGGTAGGGTGAAGTGGGTAAGTAGTCTGAAGGTAGAAGACATTCATTCATTCAACAGATGTCCACTGTGTACCTTCTCAGTACCAAATTCTGAGCTTGAAGTTGGAAATACAGAGGCAGTGGAGCAAAAATTTGAATATCTAAAATCAGGCAGACCTGGATTCATATCGAGTCTCTACTTACTAACTGTATACCCTGGACAAGTACTCAACTTCTTTGAGCTTTGGTTTCCTCATTATTCCACAACCACTTTTTAAGTGCCTTCAGTATGCCAGGTGCTGGACTACGCATAAGAGAAATACTAGTGAATAAAATAAGGGGTCTCTGCTCTTGAGGAGCTCATTATACTGTATCTCTAAAATTGGTATAATAATTTACTAAGGTTGTCTGAAGATTAAATGAGGTGATGCTGGGGTGCCTGGCTGGCTCAGTCAATAGAATATGTGACTCTTCATCCCAGGGTTGTAAGTTCGAGCCCTATGTTGGGTGTAGAGATGACTTAAAAATAAAATCTTTTTAAAAATAAAATAAATTTAAAAATAAATGAGATAATGCATATAAAGCCCCTACCACATGGTAAGCAGTCAGTAAATGTTAACTAATATTAATAAACCAAGGCAAGTAAGATATGGTTACTGGTCTCAAGGAGCTCACTGGATAGATAGACTTGTAAAAAAAGGTATTTATAGTATGTATGTAAAAGCAGTGCTAATGTAGACAAGGGTGCAGTCTGTCTGCTTAGATGACTCAGGATAGGATTACAAAATATAACTATTGCATATAGCTAAATTATTACTTCCTCTAATATTGAAAAACAAAATAGGGAAGATGACCTACTATTGTAATACAGTAGTATTTCTCGCTATTTGTAATGTTTTATTTGAAGAGGTCTTTGCCCCAAAGTCTAATCTGGAATATTCTTTGCTGTCCTGTTAAGTAATTAGAATTGATTTTCTTCTTTTTAAAAAGTAAGCTCCACACCCAGCGTTGGGCTTGAACTCACAACCCTGAGATCAAGAGCTGCATGCTCTACTGACTGAGCCAGCCAGGTGGGCCAGGCGCCCCAGAATTGATACTTTTTATTTGTACTTAATGGCTTAAAAAAATCTATTCCTAATTAGTTTCTGAGTATCATTCTTAAGAAAAGAGAACTGCTTTTTCTGAGAATCTTCTTTTTGTCTGAGTTTGTGGAATATCGCTCTTATTCTTTTATATCACTGTTGATCTTATATGCAGAAATTTGGAAAAATTGTTTTGAAATTTGTAATTAGAAAAATTGTTTTGGAATTTGTGGCTAAATTTACAGTAAGTTTCAAGATCTTAGAAATAATGGAAAAAGGAGGGAAGAGCAATGTTATCTAATATAAAGGAACTCTGGCTCGAGAGTTTGGAGTTTTGATTTCTTACCACTTTGATTTCTTGAAGTTTGGAATCTCAGTTTCTTGCCACTTCGTTATCCATGGACATGCTGTGCCTGTTCTTCAGTTTCCTCATCTATAAAATGTTTAAAACAAGGAGAGGTTTTCTTTCAACAAGGATAATATAAAAATACTACATAAGGTAAAGCACAAGGCAATGAATACAGTAATAGTGTGACAATAAAGTACATATGAAGGTGTAAGATTACGGGGTTAAGTTTCTGCCTATGATAATCACAGAAAGCTTCTGAAAGGAGATATTTGAGTAGGGACCAGACAGATAAGTGGTGGTGATATACAATTAGAAGGAAAGAGTTAATGAACACTTTAAAGGTATCTGCCACAGCCAGGATGATTGTCTTGTTAACCAGATTAGCTTCCCTGAAGGAGAAAATACTGATAACAGTTTTACTTTACTGTATTAAATCCAAGGTGATCTACACATCTCCAAAAGAAAGCCAAATGCTATTTATTTAATTTGATGGCCTTGCAAAGGATAATGCTAAAATCATATGCCAGCCACATTCAGTAGAAAGACTAATATATCTTAAGTAAGAAAGCAACAACAAAAAAAGTATACATGAAAATAGGTTAAGAGAACTTTAGTTAGTGAACCCTCTTTAAACCAATTAATTAATCAGTAATTGAATATCTCAGATGAGATTTCATCTATTATCTCAGAGAGTACTATTGCTTAAAATCTTCCTGCCAAAGTAGCTGTCTCCTAGAGATTATTTCTAGACAGGACACATCAGTATTTTACTACTCTCCCTTCTAACTTAACCCTCAAGGTTTGTAAGAAGGAGCGTATTATATAAACAAATTGAAAAACAGGAACTTAAGCAGATTTATTTAAATTTTATTCTGTTATTTTTTTAAGGACTTTATCTATTTGACAGAGAGAGCACAAGCAGAGGGAGCGGCAGGCAGAAGGAGAGGGAGAAGCAGGCTCCCCGCTGAGCAGGGAGACCAATGCGGGGCTCGATCCCAGGACCCCGGGATCGTGACCTGGGCCGAAGGCAGCCGCTTAATGACTGAGCCACCCAGGCTTCCCCTGTTATGTTTTATTTGTGCCATTTTATTACAAATTAGGGATATAAGGAACTTACTATGTACGCACACTTGGAAAAGAAGCTGACGTTTTTTAGTATCTGCTACGTGCTGAGTATTATATACTCTTTCATATAGTTTTTTTTAAAGATTTATTTATTTGACAGAGAGAGAGAGAGCAAGCGAGAGAGCACAAGGAGGGGGAGGAGCAGGCAGAGGGTGAAGGAGAAGCAGGCTTCCCACTGGGCAGGGAGCCCAATGCGGGTTCCATCCCAGGATCCTGAGATCATGATCTGAGCTGAAGGCAGAGGCTTAACTGACTGAGCCACCCAGGCGCCCCTCTTTCATATAGTTTATACAGATTGACTTACCTATTACCTTACTAAATATCAACAAACCTGTATAGAAATTGCCATCTTCATTTTATTTATTTATTTATTTTAAGATTTTGTTTATTTACTTGACAGAGACACAGAGAGAGAGGGAACACAAGCAGGGGGAGTGAGAGAGGGAGAAGCAGGCTTCCTGGGGAGCAGGGAGCCCGGTGAGGGCTCAATCCCAGGACCCTGGGACCATGACCCGAGCCAAAGGCAGACACCTAACAACTGAGCCCCCCAAGCGCCCCACCATCTTCATTTTATAGGTGAGATAACTGAGAGTCAGAAAGGTTAAATAATTTGTCCGGTGTTTCTCACCTAGTCACTAGCAGTGCTGAAAATTGAACCCAGGTCTATTTTATTCCAAAGCCCATATTCCTTCTTTTTTTTTTTTTAAGATTTATTTTATTTTATTTATTTGACAAAGAGAGAGACAGAGACAGCAAGAGAGGGAACACAAGCAGGGGGAGTGGGAGAGGGAGAAGCAGGCTTCCCGTGGAGCAGGGAGCCCGATGCAGGGCTCGATCCCAGGACCCCGGGATCATGACCTGAGCCGAAGGCAGATGCTTAACGACTTGAGCCACCCAGGCGCCCTAGCCCATATTCCTTCTATGATATGATGATGCCCCTGTAGCAGATTACTTTGGAATTTAATTTATTATCAGAATGAAAATATTTTTAGGTGAAAAGTATAAGGAGCAAAAAAGTATGTATTCTATTTTCTTTTATTTTAAAAATGACTAATACTAGAATATGCATAGAAAAAAGTTGTGAAGGTCATGTGGCTACCTCTAGCTGCAAGAGAGACTGAGAAATCAAGCTTTTATAGCTGGACATATTGTTGGCCAAATAAAATCAGTCTTCTATTAAGACAAAAAAACATGAGAGATTGGTTACTGAGTGAGTCACTAGCAGGGTCTGCCACAGATCCTAGGAGAGAATCAGAATGTATGGGGTGGAGGTACTTGTAGAAAGAAGAAAATTAATTTGGAAAAGCCTCAGTGCACTGCCAGAGAGTATAGGTTCAAACTTATCCATTATTTGATGTGTTTAACATACTCCTTGAACAATCCATTCCCCTTGACTTCTGTATGGTGATGATTCCTAAATCTCATTTTTTCAGTTTAGATTTTTTCTTCTAAGATTTAGACCCAGATATCTAACATCTGTTCTCAGAGATATCTACATGGATATCTCACTGACACCTCAAACTCTGAACATATCTAGAAATGAAATCACCATTTTTCTCTCCAGTATTTCTTCTCTTTCTTATTCCCTAACCCAAGGAACAATTTCACCATGTACCTAACTGCTAAAGTCGTAAACCAGGCCATTGTTGACTTTCCCAACTCTTCCTAACTGCCATATCAAATTATTATCAGTCCAAGCCCTAAATAGCTCTCTAATCTGTTTCTCTCTATTCCCACTGATATTACCCTGGTTCAGGCCCCATTACCTAGGTTACCTGTCATTAGTTGGTTTTCCATTGGCCTTGACTCCCTCTAATTCATTCTCTACCCAGCAAGAGAGGGACACGAGTGATCATGTTGCACTATCACTGAAACTTCCATTGACTTCCCTTTTTTATAAGGTAAATTTCAACTCATCCTGACCTGAAAAGCCAGACTTGACCTCTGATTTTACCTTTCTGACTTCATTTTTCCCACTCTTGCCTCCAACAATATATTCTAGACATACTTTCTTTTTTCCTATAAGCAATGCCAGTTACTTTCTTCCAGCTCCAATCGCTCTCTCTCTCTCTTTTTTTCTTTTTTTTTTTGAGAGAGAGACAAAGTACATGTGCATGGGGTGGGGAGGGGCAGAGGGAGAGAGAGAATCTCAAGCAGTTTCCACACCCAGAGCACACCCTGACACAAGGGCTTAATCTCAAGACACAAGATCATGACCTGAGCTGAAATCAAGAGTCCAATACTTAATTGACTCAGCCACCCAGGCGCCCCTTTTCTAGCTTCTCTTAATAATATTTCAGTGATTCTTGGGTGCCTGGGTGGCTCAGTCGGTTAAGCGACTGCCTTCAGCTCAGGTCACAATCCTGGAGTCCCTGGATCGAGTCCCGCATCCGCTTCTCCCTCTGACCCTCTTTGCTCTCATGCTCTCTGTCTCTCATTCTCTCTCTCTCAAATAAATAAATAAAATCTTAAAAAAAAAATATTTCAGTGATTCTTAATGATGTTTCTAGTAATGCTTCAATTATAAAATTAAAAATCATATCCTCCATAAAAGTCTTTCCAATCTGCATAAGTCTAGGTGGCTTTCGTATATGCTTACAAAGTACCCTGTATAGTCCCTGTCACAGAGTTTAAATACTACATTTTCAGTTGCCTGATTACTTACCTCTTTCCACACTAGGTTGTAATTGCTGTGAGGGCAGGGATCATGCCTTCCTTGTTCACCATTAGAGCATCATGGCTGCATCTGTGGATTTAATCTGGCAATCAGCTTCTAATCAGGTTTAATCTAATGCTGTGTTTACTTAGCTCTGTAAAGGGATACATGGTGGAGAATACAGCAGGTATAACATTTTCATCTTATCAGGAGATCCAGAGCTATTTATATGTACAGATTCTTTTGCCCTCTCATCCACATAAGTTATGTACAGCTGCCAGGGATGAGAGCTAAGTGTAGTGGAGGTCATTATAACTCACAGAAGCCACAGTCCCTTTTTCCTACTATTCTTTATAATGAGCACCTTTCATACTGTCCTCATGCAGGCCCCAAGCCTCCAACCTAGGTGCAGTCCTTCACAACCAAAGCAGACATAACATTTTCCATTTATCTTAACTCTTGTATTCAAGGCTGGGAGACTGAGGTCATTCTTAACCAGGCCTACATCAAGAAGATGTTTGATATTAATCCTTTACTCCACACCATTATATCCTCAGGGTCTAATACAATGCTTAATAAATATTTGTTGGAGTCTACCGTTATAGAGAGACTACAAGTAGTAGGCAGGAGTCATATCAAGGCTTTATAAAAGAGTCCACCTGAAATATAAAGATATAGAAAGGTTGAAAGTGAAAGTATGGAAAAGCATATATACCATGCAAACACTAAGCATAGTTGTGTTATATGTATATGTGGTATGTTTATTTTATTATAGAACAAAATAGACTTTAAGGGAAAAGCATTTCTCTTGTTAAGAAGGGTTTACTTCATAGTGTTAAAAATATTTAATTCATCAGAAAATTGTAATAATTTAAAATTTGTATATATCTCTAATACATATAATGTCTCAAATATATAATGCAAAAATTGACAGAACTAAAAGAAAAGATAGGCAAATCTATAATTTTAGGTGATTTTAATACATACCTCTCAGTAATTGATATAAGATATAAAATATTTAAACAACATGTTTAAGAAACTTGACCCATGGGGGCTCAGCCAGTTGGGCAGCCAACTCTTGATTTTGGCTCAGGTCATGATCTCAGGGTCCTGGGATCCAGCCCCGTGTCGGGCTCCCCACTCAGCAGGGAGTCTGCTTGAGGATTCTGTCCCTCCCTGTCCCTCTACCCCCCTCCCCGCTCATGCACTCTCTCTCTCTCCCTGACATTAATTAATTAACTAATTAAAAAGAAACTTGACCCATAAGCCAAATGTAAAATACCGCATCCAACAATTGCAGAAGCACATTGTTTTCAAACCCTTAGAGAACATTTACAAAAATTGACCATACACTTACCCACATAGCATCTTAAATTTCAAAGGATTAGAATCAGAATATAATTTCTAACTATAATGCAATTATGTTAAATATAAGTAAATATAATAAATATAAGTAATATAATTAGTAATATAGTATATAGTAATATGGTATATAGTAATATAATTCTAAATAACACATGGATCAAAGAAATCATAGATACTGGATAATACTTTGAATTGAAAAGTGATGTTGAGCATCTTTTCATGTGTCTGTTGGCCATCTGTATATCTTCTTTGGAGAATTGTCTGTTCATGTCTTATGGGCATTTTTAACTGGATTATTAGCTTTTCAGGTGTTGAATTTTATGGGTTTTTTTTAAGATTTATTTATTTGTTTTAGAGGGAGAGAGAGCATTAGTGGGCGGGACAGAGGGAGAGGGAGAGAGAATCTCAAGCAGTCTCCACTGAGGATGGAGCCCAATTTGGGGCTTGATCTCATGACCCTGAGATCATGACCTGAGCTGAAACCCAGAGGCGGAAGCTTATCCAAATGCACTACCCAGGTGCCCCAAGTTTTATAAGTTCTTTATGTATTTTGGATACTAACCCTATATCAGATAAACAATTCTAAAATTTGTAAGGAACCACAAAAGACCCCGAGTAGCAAAAGCAAACCTTGAAGAAGAAAAGCAAAGCTGGAGGCATCACAATTCCAGACTTCAAGTTATATTACAAAGCTGTAGTAATCAAAACAGTATGGTACTGGCACAAAAATAGACACATAGATCAGCGGGATGGAATAGAAAACCCAGAAATGAACCCACAACCATGTGGTCAATTAATCTTTGAAAAAGCAGGAAAGAATTTCTACTGGGAAAAAGACAGTGTCTTCAACACATGGTGTTGGGGAAACTGGACAGCCACGTGCAAAAGAATAAAACTGGACCACTTTCTTACACCATACACAAAAAATGAATTAAACATGATTAAAGACCTAAATCTGAGACTTGAAACCATAAAAATCCTAGAGGAGAACACGGGCAGTAACCTCTTTGACATTAGCCATAGCAACTTCTTTCTAGTTATGTTTCCAGAGGCAAGGAAAACAAAAGCAAAAATAGACTGTTGGGACTTCATCAAAATAAAAAGCTTCTGCACAGTAAAGGAAAGAGCAAATCTAAAAGGCAGCCTGTGGATGGGAGAAGATATTTGCAAAAAGTCTGTTTTTTAAAATGTAACAAAAGATAATATTTACATTTTGTTGAGAGGGCTATTTTTGTAGGTAAAATATACTTCCTTTGCCAAAGAATAATGATTTTACTAACTTCATTTTTCTTTTCTTATTCAGGTCATGTATGGAATGTTGGTCTTCACATTAGTACTTCGATCTATTTATATTGTTACATGGTAAGTGGTTTGGATCAACAGTATGATTAGATTACATTCAAGCAATAAATCTATAGCCTAAATTGAAATAACACATAAAACCCAATTCTAGCAGTGATATTGATAGAAAACTTTAGGCCAACATTTATTGTGATATAAGATAATAAATACTAGTTCTTTAAGCAAGGTGTTAATTGGCATCCTGTAAAAACAAAAGTTCCAACATTAATCTGAGGAAAACTGTATGATGGCCTCCTTTTGAATATTTGTAATGTACATTAGTATATTGCCTTGAAATATCCCTATAGTAAAAAATTCTTTTTTTTTTCTCAAACTACTTGACTCAGAACCCTTCTTACAATACACTATTTAAGGAAGACAATGTCAGAATCAGTACTCCAGAGAGATGATTTAGGAAATAGTCATAATCTTTATAGAGTTTATGAAGATTAAATAATAAATATTCATGTGAGTAATTTCCATGGGACCTGACCATACAGCATGTGCTCAATAAATAAATAATATGATTTCTGGGTGTATCCTTTTTTAATTAAGCTTTTCATTTTGAGGTAATTGTAGAAGCACATGTATTGTAATAATAGAGATCTTCTATACCCTTTACCAATTTTCTCCACTGATAATGTCTTGCAAAACTATAGTACAACATTACAACCAGGATTTGACATTGGCAGAGTCAAGATACAGAACGATTCCATTGGTACAAGCATCCCTGTGTTGTCCTTTTATAGCCATACCCACTTCTCTCCTACCCCATCCTCTCACCACCTATCCTTAATCCCTGGCATTCACTAATCCTTCATTTCTATAATTTTTTTATTTCAAAAATATTATATAAATGGAATCATACAGTATATATAATAACCTTTGGGATTGGCCTTTTGCACTCAGCATAATTTACTGGAGATAAGTTCATGTTGTTGAGTCTGTCGATAGTTCATCCCTTTCTATTGCCGAGAAGTATTCCGTGATATGGATGTACCACAGTTTAACCATTGACCTGTTAAATGACATCCGGATTGATTCTAGTTTTTGACTATAAAGGATAAAGTTGCTGTGAACATTTGTTTATAGGTTTCTTTGTGAATGTAAATTTTCCTTTCTCTGGAATAAATGCCCAGAGTGAAATTGCTAAGTGTATCATGGTTATATGTTTAGTTTTTCTCAGAACTGCCATACTGTTCTCCAAGGTGGTTCTACCATTTTATTTTACATTTCCACCAGCAGTGTATGAGTAACCCAGTTTCTCTGCATTCTTGTCAACATTTCGTGTTATCACTATTTATTTTAGCCATTCTTACAGGTATGCACTAATCTCTCACTGTGGTTTTAATTTTCATTTCCCTAATGTCTAAAGATGAACATATTTTCATGTACTTATTTGCCATCTGTATATCCTCTTTGTTGAAATGATTGTTCGTGTCTTTACCCATTTTCTGATGGTATTCTCTTTTTTTTCAGTTGAGTTTTGAGAGTTCTTTATATATTTTAGATACTAATCCTTCATCAAATATGTAGTTAACAAATATTTTCTCTCTCAGTCTATACCTTGTCTTCTCATACTCTTCAGAGTCTTTCATAGAGCAAAAAAGTTTTTAATTTTGATGAAGTCCAATTTATCAGTTTTCATTTTATGAATCATACTTTGGTGTCAAATATAAGGACTCTCTCCCTAACCCTAGATTTTATCCTTTTTTTTTTTTTCTAAAAGTTCTGTATAGTTTTACATTTTACATTTGAGTTCGTGATTTATTTTTAGTTAATTTTCATATAAGGTATAAGGCTTAGGTCAAGGTCCATTTTTTTTTTTTTTTTAACCTATGAATGTCCAACTGCCAGGACCACTGGTTGAAAAGGCTATCTGAAATTTCTCCACTGTATTGTTTTTGCTCTTTCCTCAAAAATGATTCATATATATATTTGTGTGGATCTATTTCTGGGTTTTTTATTTTGTTACATTGATCTGTGTCTCTCTCCCTCCACCAGTGCTACACTCTCTTGATTACTGTAGCTATATATAAAACAACTCTTCAAATCATGTAGACTAATGATTCCTCTCAGTTCTTTTCAAAATTGAAAAAAGGTTAAGTTTAGGTTCATTTGTCTTTCCATATAAATTTTACAATATATATTTAAATATGTGTATATTTAAAATTTTTGTTGGGATTTTGATAGGAATTGTATTAAACCTGCATATCAATTTGCAAAGAATTCACATCTTTACTATGTTGAGTCTTCCAGTCTATAAACACATTTATTTTGTGTCTCTCCATTTATTTTGATCATCTTTGATTTTGTTTGACATTTTGGAGTTTCCATTTCTTGAGCAATTGTAAATGGTATTTTTAAATTTGGGTGTCCACATGTTCATTACTATTATATAGAAATACGGTTGGTTTTCTTTATGTTTATCTTGTATTCTGCCACCTTGCTGAACTTAATAGTTTTAGAAGACTTTTATAGATTCCTTGAGATTTGCTGCAGATAGGGACAGTTTTTATCATCCTTTCTAATGTATGTGCTTTTGACTTCCATTTTTGCCTTATTATCCTCTCTAGAACTTCCAGGACTATATTGAATAAGAGTGGTGAGAGTAGATATCCTTGCCTTGTTTTCAGATTTAGGGGAAATGTATTAAGTCTTTCACCATTAATTCAAGTGCAGTGTTAGCTGTATGGTTTTTGTAGATGTTCTTTATGAAGTTGAGGAAGTTGTTCAGTTTCGTCAGACATTTCAATATCAGTTGATTTGATCATATGCTTTTTTCTGCAGTCTCTGAGTATGGTGTTATTACATTGATTGATTTTCAAATATTGAACCATCTTTGTATTCTGAATGAACCCCACTTAATCATGGTATAAAATTGTTTTTATATGTTGCCCAATGATACTTGTTAATATTTTGTTAAGGATTTTTACATCTATAATCATGAAGGATATTGGTTTATAGTTTTATTTTTTGTTTCACAGTTCTCGAGGCTAGAAGTCAGAAATCAAAGTGTCAGTATGGCCATGATTCCTTTGAAACCTGTAGGGGAATCCATCCTTTACTTCTTAGCTTCTGGTGATTTGCTGGCAATGTTTGGCACTCCTTGACTTTTATCCACATAATTTCCACCTCTGCCCTTGTTATGCCATGGTGTTGTCCTTGTATTTCCGTGTCTTTACATGGTTGTTTTCTTATAAGAACATTAGTCATATTGGATTAGGAGCCCACTCTATTCCAGTATAACCTCATCTTAACTAATTATATCTGCAATGACCCTATTTCCAAATAAGGTCACATTCTGAGGTACTGGGACTTAGGACGTCAACATATCCTTTTTGAGGGGAAAAATTTAACCTACAGCAGTGCACCTTGCACCACTTAAAAAATGCATTTTACATGCATTTATAACTACATCAGACAGTATTATGATTTTTGCCCCACCATAAAACGTAATTTAGAAACTCAAAGGGAAAGAAAAATGTATTATATTTATTCATATTTTTACTCTTTTCTCTTTCTTCCTCTCTAACATTCTAAGATTCCTTCTCCTCATATTCTTTCTGTTTAGAAAACTTCCTCAGCCATTCTTTTAGGGTAGATCTGTTGGCATTGTCCTCTAGGTTTTTGTTCATGTGAAAATGTATCTTGATTTCTTCTCTGGTTACAGAATTCTAGGTTGACAATTCTCTTTCAGAACTTAAAAAATGTTGTGCAACTTTCTTCTGGCCTTCAGGTTTTCTGATGAGAGATCCTGTCATTCAAATTTTTTATTTCCTATAGTATAGGAAAGGTGTTGCTTCTCTCTCACTCTTTTCAGGATTTCCCCTTGTCTTTAGTTTTTAAAATTTTGTCTGTGATGTGTCTTCTTGATGTGGATTTCTTTGGGTTAACTTGTTTGAGGTTAGCTCAGCTTCTTGAATCTGTGGGTTTATAGTGTTTTTGTTGTTGTTGTTGTGGGGGGAGGAGTTTTTTTGGCCAAATTTGAATGTTTTCAGGCATTATTTCAAATACTTTTTCAGCCCTCCCTTTCTTCTCTCCTTCCAGGACACCAATAACATGAATGCTAGATCTTTTGTTATAGTCCCGCCTTTATGACCCAATGAGGAAGGAAGTCTAGACTCCCCACTCAGTCTTTGCAGCATGGATGGGGGTGAGGCTAGAGTTTTTTCTGGGGTGTTTGGCTATAGAATAATAGTTACTATGTAAATTTTCACTCTTGCTAGGCTGCCTCTTTTCTGGTCATTTGGCTAGAGAGAGCAGGCTTTTGTTAGGATTTTTTTTTTTTTTTTGTCTGTACCTAGTGGCATTTCTGAATTGCTAGCATCTTCAGTTCCAACTCTGGGATATTTGAGGCAAAAAGAAAACACATGGAACTTATCACTGTAGTGTAACTCAGGTCCCAAAGTCTCTAGCCAGTTGGCCTTCTCTCCACCTTTCAGAGTCTTCTTATGTTTGTTTTTATGTAATATTCAGGATTTTTAATTATACCTAGTAGGGGGAACAGGGGAAAGTGTGTCTGTTTCATCTTCCCAGAAACAGAAGTTCCTAATTTATTCTGCTTTTAATCTAAGCACCTTAGGGAAGTGTAAAGAAGCATAAAATACAGTTCTTGCCTAAATCAAGTCCAAAAGATAGGATACCAATACTTTTAGAAACACAAATGACAGATCTGTAAAAAGTGTGTAACAGTGGAAGTCCTAGGAGATAAAACATCTTTCTTTTATCTGTCTTGCCACAGCTTCTTTTGGTGATCATTTCATTTAGTATTGTTCATTGTTTACCTATCTGTCTTGTCCATCTAGCTTATGTTTCTTGAAGTTTTCGTTATCATGGTAACCTCTGGAACTCAGAATAGTGCTTATCAGTAAAGATATTTTAAAATCAGATTGAAACTCTAGAACTTGTTTTTTGTTTTTGTTTTTTTACTATGAAAAGATATATTGAAAATCTCTTTTATAACAAAACATGTAGAAATTGTGGATAAAGCACAACAAACATCCTTTTAAATGCATAGC